AAAAACATTTGTTTGAGTGGTATGTGTCGTGATAGTCACTTTGTTTCATTGTTGAAAAAAGTTACTATCGATTCACGCAATTTCAAGATGAAAAAGGCTCAAGCTACGGACAATAAAAATATCTCTTATAGACAAGTCGAACATTCCTGGAGGAAAATGTTTTCACTGTTTATTATAACTTAAGTTCCTGTTCTATAATTCAGAGTTGATAAAATCAAAGATGGTGTGTTCAATTGCACACTGTATCGGTGGATTAAATGTTCATAAAGACAGTAGACAGATGGGTCAAATCAGGATACAGAAAGACAGTAGACAGATGGGTAAGATTGGTATACAGAAAGACAGTAAACAGATGGATAAGACTGATATATAGACAGACATTGGACCGATGGGTAAGATTAGCATACAGAAACAGATGGATAGTAGCTAGATTAGTAAGGTTGGTATACAGAGAGACAGTAGACAGATGGGTAAGATTAGTTTACATAAAGATAGACAGATGGGTAAGACAGGTATATAGTCATACAGTAGATAAATTAATAAGGTTGGTATACAGCTAGATAGTAGACAGATGGGTAAGATTAGTATACAGAAAGATAGTAAACAGATGGGTAAGACGGTAATACAGATAGACAAAAATACCGAAAAACAATATTCGTTTTACCATACTTTCAAGGAAAAGTTTCCTAGAAAATCTTAAAAATACCGAAAAACGATATTCGTTTTACCATACTTTCAAGGAAATAAGATTTTCTAGGAAACTTTTCTGCGAAGGTGTAGTGAAGAGAATGCAGTTTCTCATTGTTATTAAAACTTTCTAGGAAACGCGGCCCGGCATGGCCAGGTGGCTTAGGAGCTCGACTCGCAATCTGAGGGTCGCGGGTTCGAATCCCCAGCCCACCAAACATACTCGCCCTTTCAGCTGTTAGGGCGTTATAAATTTACGATCAATCCCATTATTCGTTGGTGAAAGAGTAGCCCAAGGGTTGGCGTTGGGTGGTGATGACTAGTTGCCTTCCCTCTAGTCTTTCACTGCTAAATTAGGGACGGCTACCGCAGATAGCCCTCGCGTAGCTTTGCCCGAAATTCACGACAAACCAAACCAGGAAACGCTTCCGCGAACTTATAGTAAGGCTAATGTTATTCGGTATTTTTAACATTTTTTAAAAAATATTTCCCCCGAAAATCGTAAAACGAATGTCGTTTGTTATTTTCTAGGAAACATTTCCATGGAGATAAAGGAAGAAGGATGTTGTTATTCAATGTATTTAACATTTTCTTGGAAATACTTTCGCGAAGAATTAATAAAGGCTGAGTAAGTTGGAAATGAATCAGAAGATGAACAAAAGATTTGCTAAATAATAATGTGAAAAATTATTTGCAACAATTTTAAAATATTTCGATAGACTACAAGTTTTTGATGAAAAGTTGATTCGAAAAGAAGGTATTTTAAACAAACTTTTATGTGTCTTGTAGTAGAAATAAAACTATTTTCAGAGTTTCCCAAAACATTCAGAACGATTCCTAGTACACCCTTGACTGTTTTTTTTTTCTGTCATTTTAACACTTTCTTTTCAGCTGCTCTCTAGGTAAAGTGATGTTTATTCTTTTGAAAGAATGTTCTTCACTGTTGGTATTTGTGATCTGATAAAGTTTTATATGAAGGTAGAAGTGTTTTATTTCATATCATACGTACATTTTAAAAGAACAGGATTTGATATTGACTTACATTCAAAGATTAAATAAAGGAAACGTAAGTATCCTTTCAAAGGAAAAAGGTGGTAACATTTCAGGACTAGAATTTAAGATATTCTAGATTTTCATTTCAAATAAGATGTGGCATTACATACAGGAAATGTTTTGTGGTGAGCGAGAATAAACACTGTATATTCTTTATTGTTAGCACATCGTCTGTGACGTAATCAGCCGGCTCTGATTTGTTGGAAGTATGATGAAGTACTTTATCCACAAACATGTAGTGGCTCTGTCAGGAAACGTTCAGTTATCTATACAAAACACCAAGCAAATAGCAGCACCGTTAGTGGGCTATAATGTGGTACTATTAACTGGAAAAACGATAGTACCATCAGTGGACATGACTGTTTTACGAGAGGAATAACAGTAACGAAGAAGCTGTAACGCTGTTGATGGGAAACTAGTAGATTAAGTTGTGGTTTCATTAATATAATAACATTTTGTAATGTTTAGCACTCTAGAACGTGTTCCCTTTAAATTTAAAAAAAATCGAAACCGACCACAAAAATATTGAAATCGCAGTGTTCACTGAGTTTGCGACTTGTATGTTGATTGGTTGTTCAGATCACAAGGTTTGTGTTATTGGAGTGCAAGGTTCAATGAATTTCAAAAAAGACCCATAACTCAAGCGCTTTCACATAGTTGACAATTTTACTCCTCCTAAAGAAGGATGATCAACTATTAAAAAACGCTCGAATTTTGGATCGTTTATTAAATTCATTGAACCTTTAGTATGTGATCCTGTGTGCTAAGTCTTCAATCAAAATGGAAGTCAAGCAGGATTAGGGGAATCTGTCATGTGCACGATCCTTCCATGATGTTCACTGCTACTGATCAACTAGGCAAGTGTGTCCTAGTTACTAAATTAATATAAAATTGAAACAGTTTAAATGCTGCGACATCAACTGTATAAAGAAAACAAAAACAACTGACTGAACAAAACGGTGATGATATCTATGAAATGTTTTAAAACTGGACTGACTCAAATGCAGTGAAAATTCTGTAATTCTTAAAATGTTGGAGTACAATTTTAATAGAGAAACACTATTTGATTTTATCGTTAAAACATTATTTACAAATAAGGAAGACATAGAGGAAACTACCACGAACATGGACACCATTTACTATGTCAGCAATAAGCAGCTCAAACCTGTAAAATTGTTACACTATGCCAAAGTGAAACGAATAAAAGTAAGAGATCATTAGCAATAAATCTCTGTGTGTGTTGTTTTTTTTTTGGGGGGGGGGGTGAAAATAAAACGTTCATATAAGTTTGAGCAATTGATTCATATACTAACAAAGACCCGCAAATATTTGCGGCCAAATTAGTATCGTTGTTACATCAGTACTTCTTTAATTTAAGTACGGAATTTCTAGAATAATACAAAAGAATTCTAATCGCAAACAGCGAAACCTATAAGTCAACTTGTCATAGGCGTAACGTTAGTTAAACCTTTATTAAGTGCCGCCTATATTCGATAAAGAGATAAATTAACTCTGTAACTTGTGTGCCCTTTTCTGTTTAAGTTTAGTTAGGGCTAAACTTCACCGTATTTAATATACAATCAATAAATAAATATATATTGTTATTCTACGACCTAACGCTAGATCTCTTTAAAAACTTTGATGATATGTTGTTGTACAAAAAATATACTAAAGTATATTTACATTCGCCTTTTACATGCGCATTTAGATAGTAAGGCGCGCACGCATTTTCAAGACAGACAAAATCTGAGTATTATTATAATAGATACATATTTTATTTATGCAGTGAAAGGATTAACCCAGAAGGAAATTCTGGCATTATTAACCGTTCACAGTTTTTTCAGTAGTGATCCTAGGTTATTCAACAGGGGGACTCATTCCGGAAACCAGTGATTTAGGGTTATTTCGATAGGTCTCAATCAATGAAGCTCAGCACAGCTTGTAAAACAGAAAAAAAAAATGATGAAAATATGACATGATGAAATCTATACCATCCTTATTATATTTACTTTTCATTGTAGAAATGATATTATTTAATTTAAGAATCGCCAGAGAATAATCTTGTATCGTACATCTGCTTCAACTTCAACATTACATCTTTGGTCTTTACTGTGCTGTTAGTTTCACAAAATATTGAAACAAATGATTTCTTGTATATTATTCAATTCCCATTTTTGGAGATAACGATACTATTGTATACTATTTTTTTATGTATCGTTGTCAGTCCAGTAATTAATTATCGAATCTCTGATTCAACTGGTATGTCAAATCAATTGAGATATCTTCAAATAAGTTCTCCCCTCATCCAACCTGGATCCACTGTTTAGCTAAATCACTACACTTAAACCATCACATTCACAACCACATCTAGAACATTTCAAGCATGTTACATTGTTTTACTTTACATTTACAAGTTAACTTCTCCATGTTGGTTCTCATGATCACGGGTAAGGTCACGTGTCTAACCCAGTAACCTATACCTCGAAAAGGTTTGGGTTGTTTTCATTGGACAGAAAGAAGACGTTTGGCACTATTTTTTTTGGATCCACATCAAGATGCCGGGCTGGCTCGTGTAGCGGCTATTAACATAAATGAGACAAAATATATTTATTTCATTGTAAAAGTTAATTTCAGAACCATTTGTATGGAACAAGTATGAAATATAACAAGGCATATATTCTTAAATCAAAGATCTGAATATCCTGATAATTCTTATTTATCAAAGTATGTTTAAGTCAACGAAGGTACCATTCGAAATGAAACGTAAAATGAATATTTATAAATATTCGATGAAATATAAACGTAAAAGGAAGTTTATTTAAAAGTGTGAATTTCAGATATTCTGGAAAAACGTCACTATTAACTTTTGAGAACGATAGAGACATTGAAACAGAATATCTAAAATAATACAACTAATTTATTAACTTTTGAGAACGATAGAGACATTGAAACAGAATATCTAAAATAATACAACTAATTTTCTGTAAAAACACAAATACTTCTAGAAGAGTAACATCATGAAAAGTAAAAAAAAAAACTAATTTTTTGAATTTTGATTATGTAAAACTAGTTGATGGTTCAACAATGTCGTGATACTGAAACTAACGTTAACATAACTCTTGATTTAGGTATAGCTTGTTTTATTATTATTTTCTTAGAACGAACCTATTTGTTTGTAAGAAACAATATACTGCAAAACTTACATAATATATATATATATTATTGTAAAAAATCTGCTTTATTTCATTTTTTGCACACAGAAAGGAACAAAGAACGCTCTTGAGACCGGAAGGACATTCTCCACCATATTTGCCGACATGGACTTCCGGCAACGTCTTCTAGAGGTGCATAGTGAAGATGAGTTTAACAGTATCTTGTTAAAACATGCCCAGGATCTGGCAATTGAACAGAGTAGTCCAAATAAACGCCTTGGAAATAATGAAAACGAAGTTGATTATGAGGTACGTGAAAACAAACAACATGAAAACAATGACAACGAAGTTGATTATGAGGTAAGCTAAAATAAAAAACGTGGAAATAACGTAAACGAAGTTGATCATGCGGTAAGCTAAAAGAAACAACGTTGAAACAATATTAACGAAGTTGATTATGAGGTAAGCTAAAATAAACAACGCGGAAACAATGTAAACGAAGTTGAAGCTGCGGTAAGCTAAAAGAAACAACGTTGAAACTATGTAAACGAAGTTGATTATGAGGTAAGCTAAAATAAACAACGCGGAAACAATGTAAACGAAGTTGATTATGAGGTAAGCTAAAATAAACAACGCGGAAACAATGTAAACGAAGTTGATTATGAGGTAAGCTAAAATAAACAACGTGGAAATAACGTAAACGAAGTTGAAGCTGCGGTAAGCTAAAATAAACAACGCGGAAACAATGTAAACGAAGTTGATTATGAGGTAAGCTAAACAAACAACGCGGAAACAATGTAAACGAAGTTGATTATGAGGTAAGCTAAAATAAACAACGTGAAATAACGTAAACGAAGTTGATCATGCGGTAAGCTAAAACAAACAACGCGGAAACAATGAGAACGAAGTTAATCATGCGGTAAGCTAAAACAAACAACGTGGAAACAATGTAAACGAAGTTGATCATGTGGTAAGCTAAAACAAACAACGCGGAAACAATGTAAACGAAATTAATAGTGATCTAAATTAAACATTGCTCTGGAAATTAGTATCATGGTTTACTTGATTTTAATTATAAAGTGGTGTTGCAATCCTTGTTATCATTTTTTATTTGACGTTATCCATAACATCGATTTTTAATATATGCTTCTTTATTAACCTTACAAGAAAACAAAATATCTATGAAATAAATTGTTATCGTTTTCATTACGTCAATAATAAATCTATTGCTGATATTTATCCATTTTAATTTATTATTTTATTATCATCTCTGATAGTTTAATTAACTAGTGAATATTTCTGGCTTTGTCCTGAAACAGCAATCCTTATTTTAACACTGGGCATTAAATATTCAACCAGAAGTAAAAGTTTAAGCCACGAGACAAACAAAAGCGTGTTATGCTTCATTACTTTTCCCATCTTATCAGAAGAACCCAGGACTAATTTTCTTGTATATCCTGAAGCATCCGAAAAGATGTCACTCACCTTAGAATAGTATACCCGTTGTTGAGTGTAAACGTGTAAGAGTTTTGTGAGCAATAGTTTGGATGACATATTTAAAGTGCGATACAATAGTTAATTAACATATGCTCTACTATATAAGGTAGGTATAAAACACGTGAACTACGTACGGTATGCATATATATAACGTAGGTATTATAAGTTGGCAAACAACGATTTATCATATAATGAAGTGATTTATTTACGGTGGAACGTACTACATGTTTCTCAGAACTTGGTCCGTCTTCTTCAGTTGGACAACTTATTATTATTACCATGTGCTTCCTTACTGAAGTGCCCCCAATGGCACGGCGGTATATCTTAGGACTTCCAACACTAGAAACCGGGTTTCGATACCCTTGGGGGGGCAGAGCACCGATAGCCTTATAGCTTTGCGCTTAATTCCAAACAAACAAACTTTACGGAAGTAAATAACCTAGGTATATGACACGTGGGCTGCTGTGTCATTGTTTATATTAGCATAATATATATATTCGTGATTTATCTGTAGTGCAAGATTAAATATTAAGATACATACATTTCTTAAGGTTTTGTAAAGTTAATAGCCGAACTTTGAAGTATTAGAAATTCTGATTGGGCAATATTTATTATGTCCACTATCTTACGAAAGCACTGATTGGTTTAAATAAATGCATTTTTTTTTTCCGGAAGAATTCAGGATAATCGATTTTCCGAACAACAACAACAAAACTCCGCAGACGTCTGTAGGTTTCGTTCATTTGTAATATATTTATATTTTATTTTTTTACATTTGTGAAACTATTTTGAAGAATCATTGTTGAGCCAAAGAAATAAAATATCAAAAGAACTTGTACATTGTACTTGAAACCGACACTAGTCAGCCCTAACGCACGAGCAAAGAAAAATGAAATGAGATTCGAAAGGTGGCCTTTCTAAAGTCACCTTATCACGTGGTCTAACTTGCCTATTAGTTGTGTTATGATAGAACCAACTGTGCAGACAAAATCAGAAACAACTAAAAGTCACCACTTCACGTAACTGTGGTTCTAAATTGAGGGCTCTTTTCTTTCCCCGATATTGTAACGTTTTGAATTCATGGATCGCTATAAACTGAGTGAGGTTATTTTGTGTTTTGCGCCTTCCTTAATTACATTTTAAAGTTTTTCGGCAATATTTAAAGTTTTAAGAATGTTTTATTCGTTGGTAAAAGAGTAGCCCAAGATTTAGTGTTGCTGACTAGCTGCCTTCCCTCTAAACTATCACTGCTAAAAGTAGGGACGGCTAGTGCAGATAGCTTTCGAGTAGCTTTGTGCGACATTCAAAAGAAACTATATCATGTTACCTGGTGTAAACCAAGTGAGTAATAATCTTGTAAACAAAATATAAATTACACGAAGTTGCTTTCCACACTTATAGACACACAAAGCTCGTTTCCATGACATCGATCCGGTAGAGCTGATGAAAGCGTTATTACACTTCCAAGTCCTGCATCCCTCAGCTCATTGGGTTTGTTCTCCAATATGTTTCCCGCTCGACCACTACAAAACCCGAGTTCTGCATGTCTGGAAGTATCAAAACATCTTCCTTATAAAGATGTACACACGTGTGAGTTGAAACACTATCTAAACCAAACTTTACATCGTGTTATCATCTGCGCCATTATCATTTATAATTCAATCCCTTGATAGTATAATTCTAGGTTCTCATACAATTGGCCCTGCAGAAATGAAATGTTTACCTCTTACGAAATTTAGGATTATGAAACAGAAAATAACATTGTTAACGTCAAACGATAATAATGCGATGTTAACATTAAACTATAACAGTACAGTGTTAACGTCAAACGATAACAATACGGCATTAACATCAAGCGATAACAATATGGTGTTAGTATCATACGATAATAACACAGTGTTAACGTCAAGCGATAAAAATACGGTATTAACATCAAGCGATAACAATACGGTATTAACATTAAGCGATAACATTGCGGTATTAACATCAAGCGATAACAATATGGTGTCAGCATCAAGTGATAACTTTGGGAATTTTTTAGTTTGGCGAAAAATGTATGTATAAACCAGTCTCACAGAAAAGAACGATTCGCTGAAGAAAAGTGATTAAAATTACCGAGAATGTATCTGTTGAACCTGTCAGTTGTCTTTATTAAACTATTACCGAGAATGTATCTGTTGATCCCGTCAGTTGTCTTTATTAAACTATTACTGTCTGTTGATCTTGTCAGTTGTCTTTATTAAACTATTATCGAGAATGTATCTGTTGATCTTGTCAGTTGTCTTTATTAAACTATTACTGTCTGTTGATCCAGTCAGTTGTCTTTATT